CAACTGCAGCAGGGAGCTATGGATAGAAGGAGTGAACAGCGAGATGATAATTGTTATGTTATAACAACAGTTAAAGAATGAATTTCCGTTTTACTTTGTTTTTACTTTGTATTTGTCTCTTTTTTTTTCTTTCTCTGCTTCTTTTGTCTTCTTCTTTTTTCTTTTCTCTCTTCTTTTTACTGTGTTTGCTTCGGCTTTTTAATGTCTCCTTTTTCTGTCTCCTCCTGATTTGTCTCTATCTCTCTCTTTCTCCGTTTTTCTCTCTTCTTAGTTAATTTTCTTTTCTTGTCAAACGCATGCACCACGCAGCTTGGTGGTGGCGTGTTTGGTGCAGCAGCAGCAGCAAACAGCAGCAGCAAGCAGCAGCAGCAGCAGCATGTTGCTGCTGCAGTTCACTTCTGCTGCAAGACAGGTTGTTGTTACTTTTCTTGTTTTGTGTTTTCTTGGGTTGGGCTCTGCTGCCTCTCCCTGTGGATCAGAAAAACACACAAACTCTTTCTGGTTTAAGGATTGCTGCTTCCCTGTCCCTCTCTCAAATATATATAATTAATTAATTAATTAATTAATCTATTTATTTATTTATTTATTTATTTATAGAACATACACTTATATACAGCAGTGACCAGCTAAGGGGTCTGTCTCTTTCTGCTGCTGTGCGGGTGGAATGGAGTTGAAAGGATTGAGCCCAGAAAGCTAACAAATAAAGAAAAAGAAATATAGTAAAGTATAGTAGTAGTAGTAGTAGTAGGAGTAGTAGTAGTTGTTGTGGTGTAATGCTGGGGAAAAAAGAAAGAAAAGAAGAAATGTTATAGCTGTTCAGATAGAAGCAAACGAGTAGAAGAGGGAATGTAACACGTGCGCAGAAAAAAAAGAAAAAGAGAAAACAAAAGAAAAACCAAGTAGAAATATGATATATTAGCGAATAGAAACAAAAAAGTAAAAGTGTAACACCTCGCCAAAGAAAAAAAAAACAAAAAAAAGTGCAAATCATAAACAAACAAATACATGAGAGATGATGAAACAGAAGAAAACCGAAAACTCACCAGAATTCCTTGATAAGATGCATGCAGAAAGTTGTAGTATGTAGTACTTATAGCTGCAATAGCATTCGTTGTAGTTGTAGTTTCTGCTTTTCTTGTTTTTGTTCTTATTCTTGTTNACTTATAGCTGCAATAGCATTCGTTGTAGTTGTAGTTTCTGCTTTTCTTGTTTTTGTTCTTATTCTTGTTGTCATAGGAAACCAACCAGAAACACGAAATTTCAAGTTAAGTGTAACAGCCGTTCCGGGGCTCGCTGTGCTTTCTTTTTCATGTGAAATATAAAAAGAATAAATTTGATGATTCATGAAACAAAAAAAAACAACTGATGGTTCAGCTTTCCTGTTGTAATCATGAAGAAAGCTGCGAGTCAATTGGGGTGTATGTGCAGCTTTCCTCATGAAGAGTATACGAGTGAAACCACGAAACTTTTTCGCAGATACTTGAACATTTTTGATGCTTTTTAAATGTTAATTTATTTCTTTTTCTTTTTTTCATTTCTATTGAACACCATAATTTCTCCATCATGCGGATTACGGACTTCTCCCGTGCCCAACGGTGACGCTTTCCCCCGAATTTGAATTTTTGCAAGAAACTTGAATTTCCGCTTTTTCAGGTCCTCTAGGGGCCCCCCAACCTGAAAACATTAAAATAAAAACACAAGAGGCCCCGCATTACCGCCCAGATAGAGGCTATAACCCACCAGCTTTCAAGCCGCTTCCTCCTGCATACGGAGGCAGTAAACCATGGGAGTATTCAGGCGAAGATATTTTGCAGCTTCCAGAAGAAGAAAAGATTGCTGTTGCAGAAACACAGAAAATACTACAAGGGGTGAGAAAAAGTTGCTGCTGCTATACTTGTACTGTGATGCAGGTTTCTTGTGTTTTGCAATTTGTTGTTTCTGCTGTTCAGATTTTTCTCGTTCATGTTTCTGTTGTTCATGTTTCTGTTGTTCATGTNAATTTGTTGTTTCTGCTGTTCAGATTTTTCTCGTTCATGTTTCTGTTGTTCATGTTTCTGTTGTTCATGTTTCTTTGTATTTCTGTTGTTGTCATGTTGTTTATATTTATTCATGTTTCTGTTGTTTATATTTATTCATATTTCTCTTGTTCTTGTTTTTGTATTTCTGCTGCTGCAGGAGCAGCAAACGGCTCAAGCGCCGCCAACGCCAGCTATGCCTCCCCCAGGTTTTTCAAGGCTGCAGTTCGTAAGCTGTATTCATCAGCATATGTATTCTCTCCATAAATAAATAAATAAATAAATTATTTAATAAATGAAATACATACAGCCGCTGCCGCCATGGCTGACGCAGCTGATAAACACTGCAGCAGGAATTGCTGCTTTCACCAGCAACCTTGGTGCGTTTTCTTTTCTCTCTGCATGCAACCATGCATGCATGCATGCATGCATATGTGTATGCTTGCATGCATGCGTGCATGCATGCAAGCATGCATGCAATAAATGAAAGTGTTATTATTGTATTTCTGAATCCAGGTGTACCGGNTGCATGCATGCAAGCATGCATGCAATAAATGAAAGTGTTATTATTGTATTTCTGAATCCAGGTGTACCGGGAGCTCCTGACGTGTTGAACTGTATGTGTTTTTTTTTATTGATAAATAAATATAAAAAAAAGAAATAAAAAAAAGTAAATAACAAAAGGCAGATCTTCTGTATCATTGAAGGAGTTGATGGTGTGTGTAGAGTCAGGTATGTGTATCTATTTATAATTTCTTTTTTATTTCTTTTTTATTGTTTTTTTCTTTTTTTTTCTTCTTTATTGCCTTTTATTTAAACAGCTGTCAGCGAAGGAAAACAAATGTTTCAAACAGGTAATACTGCTTTCTCTTTTCTCTTTCTCTCTCTCTGTCTCTCTCTTTCTCTTTCTGTCTCTCTCTGTCTCTTTCTGTCTCCTTTTGTCTCTTTCTGTCTGTTTCTGTCTCTCTCTTAATCTCATGCAATCTTCTGTGTTGTTTATTTGTATCTCTTTCTGTTTGATTTCCTCTCTTTCTTTTTCTCTTTTTCTGTGTGTGCGTGTGTTGCTTTGCATGCAGCAGTATATAAACAAAGTAACCAGACGGTCTGTTGCTGGTATTTTTTTTTTTCTTCAGCTAAAGAAATCGCTGTATTGAATACGCGAGTTATGTCTGGGGGCAGGTGATTAAATTATTTATTTTTATTTTATTTTATTTTATTTTATTTTTATTTTATTTATATTTTTATTTCTTTATGATAAACCAGACCAGCAGACGCTGCTCTCGTGCGCCTGAAGACCCTCGCCTCCCGCCCCTTCGCCAAGCAACTGATGAAAGCCCTCGGTACTTCTCTCTTTCTCGCTTGCATGCATGCATGCATGCATGCATTTGTCTGTGCATGCATTCATGCATGCATGCATTGTTCGCTGGGTAAATACATCTATATCTGCATGCGTGCATTTCTCTGTGCAAGCATGCATGCATGCATGCTTGTATTTGTCTGTTGATGCATGCATGCATGCATGCATGCATGCGTGTGTTTCTCTATGCTTGCATGCATGCATGCATGCATGCATGGGGCTGTCGTTGCATGCAGCTGGTTTTCAGGGACAACACTGATGTGCACGTGGGTCGATGAGAGCAATTCAGTAAATCTGTGGCGGCGTCAACAAAAAAAATAAAATGAAAACAGATTACTCATGCAAAAAGAAATAACACCCGATAGGTCGGCTCTTGCTGTTGCTGCTGTTGCTGTTGCTGCTGTTGCTGCTGCTGGTGTTGCTGCTGCTGTTGTTGTTGCTGCTGGTGTTGTCGCTGTTGCTGGTGCTGTTGTTGCTGCTGTTGTTGCTGCTGTTGTTGCTGCTGCTGTTGCTGCTTTTGTTGCTGCTGTTGCTGCTGCTGTTGCTGTTGCAGTGGCTGGTGCTGTTGTTGCTGCTGTTGCTGCTGCTGTTGCTGTTGCAGTGGCTGGTGCTGTTGTTGCTGCTGTTGTTGTTGCTGTTGATGGTGGTGATGGGATTACTACTCTTATTGTATTATTATTAATATTGTTGTTGTTGCTATTAAAATTATTTAATTTTTTTTAATTTTTTTTATGTTTCCACTAAATTAAATAAATTAAATTAATTACATTACCTAACCAAACCAAACCAAAACAAAAAAACAAAACAAAACAACAAAAAAAAAAAATAAATAAAAGTGCATATACATAGACAACGCTGGCTGTCTGGGTCTGTAGTGACAGCAGCAACAGACTTGCCGGTGGCGAGCGATATAACCGACACAAAATCAGGCGGCTTTGGCCACGTCAACAGTAAAATATATTTTATACTTTTTTACATAACTCCTCCTCATCTCTGGTTTCTCGTGCTGCTGCTGCTGTTGCTGCTGTTGCTGCTGCTGCTGTTGCTGCTGCTGCTGTTGCTGCTGCTGCTGTTGCTGCTGCTGCTGTTGCTGCTGTTGTTGCTGATGTGCTGCTGATGCGGCTGTTGCTGGTCTGGTTCTGCTGCTGCTGCTGGTGCTGATGCTGTTGCTGCTGCTGCTGCTGCTGCTGCTGTGTTTGGTTGCAGTTGTGCTGCCGCGTCCTTCGCGTATTCATCGCAGCGACAGAATTATTGAAGAACTTAACAAAGGAATGGTGATACATCCATTTTATTTTATTTTATTTTATTTTATTTTATTTTGTTTTATTTTATTCTATTTTATTTTACCTTGTTATTTTGTTTTATTTTATTTTTACACTTTACTGTTATTTTATTTTCTTTTTATCTTATTTTCTTTTGCTTTATTTTATTTTGCTTTATTTTATTTTTATTTTATTTTATTTTATTTTATTTTATTATTTTATTTTATTTTATTTTATTTTATTTTATTTTATTTTATTTTATTTTATTTTATTATTTATTCTTTTAGGATCCAGCGGAGACACTGTACGGCGGCCTTGGCGTTGAGGGGAGGACAGACCTCTCCTCTCCTCTCCGCCCCCCATAAACTGCTGCTGCTGCATGCATGCATGCAATATATATATATATATATATATATATATATATATATATATATATAATATA